GCCCACTAGGACATCCGCGCCTCAGAGGGGCCTGCGGGGGAGATGGCTGCAGAGGGGCGGAGGGAAGAGGTGTCCCAGGTGAGAACGGCAGTCGGGCAGTGCGGAGGCCAGGGGAGTGAAGGTGACCTCTGAGCCACCTGCAGAAATGCCAGGCCTGTGGGGTAGCAGGTCGGCCCCCCCCCAGGAGGACGGGAGCAGCTCCTGCAGAGGCCGGGTGTGCAGGACTGTTGAGGGGCTGCGGCAACCTGGGCTGACCGGCACCCCCCCCTCTGTCCCCTCTGCAGGCCGCAGCCCAGGAAGCCAGCGCCCTCCTGACCTCCGGGCAGCCTCGGCAGGCGCTGGGCTACTGCTCACTGGCTGTCCTGGCTGGTGGTCGCAGCGCCTGTCACCTGCGCCTGCGGGCCACCTGCCTGGCCCAGCTGCAGGAGTTTAGCCGGGCACTCAGAGACCTGGACCTTCTGCTGCGGGAGGGTGCAGGGGACGGCGACCTCCCAATGAGGGCAGAGGACTTGTGCTCCAGGGGCCGCCTACTCCTGAGCCTGGGAAACAAGGCCGGGGCCGCAGGGGCCTTTGCCCAGGCCCTCAAGCTGGCACCCGCCCCAGCCCAGAGCAGCCTGTGGCAGCGGCCGGGCCGCACCCCCACCGCCCAGGTGCTGCTGAGCCACGGGCAGCGCTGCCTGGAGGACCGGCTGTACTCCGAGGCCTGGACGGCGGCTGAGAGCGGGCTCCTAGTGGACCCGGAGCACTGCGGCCTGAGGAAGCTGAAGGCGAGAGTCCGGAGGGAAGCAGCCTCTGGCTGCCGGCTCCACTAACCCCATGCTTGCCAGGTCCAGTCACAGGGCCACCCGGTCATTTTTCCCCCAAACCAGGGAGGTGCCCCCCCCCCCAGCTGTGGGGTGGGTGGGTCGGCGGTGAGAAGCAGAGAGAAGGGAGTCCTGCTGGCCTGGAGCGGCCGTCCTGGGAGGCCTAGAGTCCCTTGCTGCAATGGCACCCCGATCGCCAAAGCTGGGTGGGGCAGCAGGTTTAAGACCAGCCCCTGGTGGCCCCAGGGAGATGGTTTAGCCCTTCCCTTGGCAAGAAGCAGCCTTTGACCCTGGCCTAAGCCTCAGGCGGGACCCCCCAAGGACAAAACTCAGACATGTCCCCCTTTGGAACCAGTTATGCAGCCACACAGATGAAAACAATTAAAGTACCTGCTCAGTTCAAGAGGTTAGAAAAAGACCGTAGACAGAATCAGAAGGCAGAGATTAACAAGGAGAAAAGCAGAAATTGGGAGACTAGGGATAGCAGCATGGAGGAACTAACAAGTAAATCCAAAATGCGGTTATTCAAAAACAAAACATGAACCAATAGCAAACAATCAAGAAAGAAAAAGACACTTGTGTCACCCCAGCCTGCTGACGGATGCTCCCTGCTGGGGAGGCCTGGGGCGCTCACCTGGGCCGGTGCTGCCTGCGGGGGGCACCACAGACGTGTCCCCGTTTGGAGCCAGTGTTGGGGCTGCACTGGCCCTTGTTATTGTGATGTCAGGAAAAAACTTGGCAGACGCCATCAGGGAACTTTGAGGAACAAGGTTCGTTACTTGCAGGTCCCGGAGGGTGCACAGCATGTCCGGGGCCACACGTCGAGGTCAAGGGGGGGGGGTGCCGAGCGAGAGCTCAAGGGCCTGGGGCTCTGCCTTCACTGGGGTCGAGGGTGGGTGTCTGGGGTTTTCTGGGATCCCTCATCATTGGCTAATTTGGCACATAAAAGGGAATTAGGTCTCAGGAGGCTAGAGGCAGGGCCGCCTACCCCGTCAGTTGTCTGGGTCCCCCGAGTTTGGAACTTTGAGGGTGGGGGCGGCCCAGTTCCTCATGTGGTGGTTTTGCTGTTGGCTGCAGCCCACAGCTGGCAATATGTTTACTCGAGGTGGGTATCTTTTGCAAATGACAATCAGAAGCTTAACGTCAGGCACTTCCACTGCAGACACAACATTGTAAAAAGTGGCAAGGACAGAGTAACAGAGGGGACCGAAAAAAGCCTAAGTGCCCAGCCGGCGTGGCTCAGCGGTTGGGCATCGACCTATGAACCAGGAGATCGCGGTTCGATTCCTGGTTGGGGCGCAGGCCCGGGTTGCGGGCTCCTCGATGCCCAGTAGGGGGCGTGCAGGAGGCAGCCGGCTGATGACTCTCGATGTTTCTCCCCCTCTCCCTCTCTCTGAAATCAATAAAGACATTAAAAAAGAAAGAAGCATAAGAGATTACTTTTCTCAACTCTGTAAATAAACCTGAAGCCTGGACGACATGGGTTAGTTCCTAGGAACATGGTATTTAACTAAACTGGCTCCAGAATGGACGTAGGTAAAACACAGGACAATGACCGTGGCGGGAAGAGGGTGGTGAAGGAGCCCTGCCCAGGGCAGGCCCGGGCCCGGGGGTGTCGGGACACGGACCGGCCTGTAAGGAACAGTCCGTCACAGGCTGCCTTCAGCTCCTTCGGAGCCGAGAAGGAAGGCTTCCGGGGCCTTTTCGAAGATGGCTTGCTCTCAGCCCAGCGAAAGCCACAGTGAATTTCCTTTAAAGCCCAGGTCACAAGTCCTAAGGGAAACGCCAACAAACCCAAGTCCAGCGGCACAGTGTAAGGATGGCGCCCCATGAGCGACGCGTGCGGGATGCAAGGACGGCTCCATCTGAGGTGCATTCTGTGGAGGAAAAATAAGCCCCGTGATCCCCACGGGGCTGCTGTGGGGTGCGCCAGTCACACGCGATCAGTCCAACGTGCGGTCTCCCTGCGCCTTTGGGTCCTTCCTGAGCATCACGCGGGGGGAGTCCCGTCATCTTCACTTCACTCCCCGTGGACCACCAGCGAGTCCAGGTTTCGTTCCCCACGTGGGTGGTCAGAGTGGCAGCAGTTGACGGTGAGTTATGTTCAGCGTCTCCGGCAGGTGTACCCCGTTAGTACAGTCAGCCCGGCGTGGCACCCCCTCCGCCGTGGTCTGATACACTTAGACTCCGTTCCCACACAGACTTCCCGGGTTTCTCAGTGTGACCTAGGAAATCCTGCGATTTCGGGGGTGCATATGCTATTTCCTCCTGGGTCAGCCTTTGCACTTGACCCCTCCGCCCCCCCCCCCCC